AAATGTACTTAAAAATAAAATTTGATAAGCTATTTCAGGTGAAAGCGAGACCCTATGCATGATGCAAGATGAGAAATTTGCTTTTCTCTGAGAGGGAGGTAAGGGAGTAATAGGGAGACGGGGCGGGTGTGGGGGCTGGCAGGGGTAGAGGAGATGGGAAAAGAGCCAGCAAGGCGGAGGGGCTGGGGCCTGTTGGGTGGGAAGTTCCCTGCTCCTTCATGCTGGGGATACTGAAGGAGCTTTAAGAATTATGTTTTATAATATTCCCTTTAAAGCTCTTGTATTAGTTTGCTGGGGCTGCCATAACAAAGTACCACAGTCTGGGTGGCTCAAATAACAGAAATATGTTGTTTCACAGTCCTGGAGGCTGGAAGCCTGAGACTAAGGCCTCAGTAGGGTTGGTTCCTTCTGAGGGCTGTGAGGAAGACTGTCATGTTTCTCCCCAGCTTCTGGAAATTTGCTGAAAATCTTTGGCATTCCTTAGCTTGCAGAAGCATCACCCTAATCTCTGCCTTCATGTTCATGTGGTATTCTTGTTGTTTGTGGGTCTGCCTCCCAACTTCCCCTTTTTATAAGGACACCAGTCATGTTAGATTAGAACCCACCTTAATGACCTCATTGTAACTTAATTACCTCTATAAAGAACCAGTCTCTAAGGGAGATCTGTTATGAGGTATTGGGGCTTAGGACTCCAGCAGCTTTTCTGGGAGGAGTGAGAGTAGAGACACAATTCAATCCATGACAGCCTTCCTCTTCCTCCTCACTGACTCATGTGCAGAGCCTGGATGTTAGCAGAACTCCTTCGGCTGGGGCCACGTGCAGCCAGAGATGGCATGAGCTCAGGCAGGAGCTCAGGCGGGTGTGGGGACGTGGACTCACAGCCAACCTGAGGAAGGCTTCTCATGTCCACTGGCCTCCTACTCTGCGGTGTTACAGACAACTTTTCAGAAAATCCAGTTGAAAGCACATATCAATGTTTATTACAATCTCTCTGCGATTGAAAAGGCGTCTACTAGGCCAATTCAAAGAGTTGTTCCCAGGAGGGGCATTTCATAGGAAAAGAGAATGGTTAGATCATTATTAGTAGGATAAGATACAAAAACGAAAAAAAAGAAAGATTGTTCGGTTAAACAACTGACTAAACACTAAAACGACTGACTGACTGACAGTCAGCAGGTAGGGGGCTGGGTGATTAGAGTCCCAGAACAAAGCTTGCTTCGTTGAACTGATCAGAAAATCGATTAAGTTAAGCATTTTTATCAGGAATGTTCATTTCTTCTCAGAAGTAGATTTAGAATTACATCAATCAAAAAGGTTTGGTTCTAGACACGATTGAAAATGTTTTTCTCTCATTGGGGTTCTAACCTCTCTGACCCCAGGCCGAACACCCGGGTCGCGTACTAAGGGCCCCGTGCCCCACCATCCCCCCTTTCACAGGCACTTCACACCCCCCGCCCCCGCCACCACCCCCCCCCCCACGCCCTGCCACCCCGCCCTCAGAGTCCCCTTCCGGCTCATGTCCTCCATAGCAGCAGCTCCCGCCCAGCCTGTCCTCACCCTCCAAGGGATGGGAGTTACGTCCTCTAACAAAATTCAGACCCCTCCTCGAGGCCCTGTGCATTCCGGCTCCTCTCTCTTCACTCCCGTCAGTCCATCTCCTGCAGCCGAAAGGCAGGCGCCGCCGTCTGCGGCTGCGAGAGCCAATACTCGAGAAGCAGGCGCTGATGTAAAGGAGAGCAGTTTATGTGCAGATGCCGGCCATCTGGAAGATGGGGGACTCACGTCACAAAGCCCATCTCCACCTCTCAGTGGAGGCAGACGTTTTTTATAGGGAGGGGGAGGGGAACAGATCAAAGACATCAAGGGAGGGGGCTGAAAAGTTCTCTACGTGCAGACAAACACAGTCCATTCTGATAAGGCAAGTGACAGCCTGATGTGCATCATCCTGGTTTAGTCATCCTGGAATTCATGTCATCCTGGCTTCTCAGATAAAGGTCAGTAAATCTGGAGCTCAGATGCCTGAAGGTTGGGATCTGCATCTTTTGAAATTAGTTCCTAGGCTTCTTATACAAACATACTGTTCATCTACAAGCTACATATTAGTCAAGGTCAGCACTTACAGAAACAATGTCGAAAGAGTGCTGGGGTGGGTTAGGGTTTCCTACGATCACAATTTTCTATGGTTACACTTTTGACTCACCGTCCTCTGTCCCCACTGGCTACCCTTCTGCTCTTTAAACCTGTCAGGCTCTTGGAGGTCTTTGCACTTGCTGTTACCGCTGCCTGGAGTGTTCATCTACAGAGCTTTCTCCTCACCATTCAGAGCTCAGTTCCAGTGATACCTCCTCACAGAAAGTTTTCCTACCCTTATACCCCTCGCTCATTTCATTCTGCTAACTTCACCCATCACCTGCCTTTATCTTATTCTTTTCTCTTGTCTGCATCTCTTACCAGATTAGATGCATATGAGTGTCAACATAAGAAATATCCACACTTGTAGATAATTTTTACAAATTTATTTGAGCTAAATGGACGATAATTGCTGGGAAACAAAAATCTCAATGGATTGAGAAAATGCTCTGGAAAATGGCAGTTTTGCACCTTACTTTATACATTAGAGTCGAAGGAGAAGACATAAGGGAGTTACATGAATCAATTGGTAATAGGTTAGGGAGGCAAGAGAAAGAAAAGCAGGAAATCTCTGAGACTGGGTAAAAAGTAAACCAGAGAGACACGCACTTCTTTCACATTGGTGGGTACGGGATAGTTACAGTTAACAGTTACAGCACGTAGAGATGGTATGTGAGAGAACTAGGTAACAGTGAGAGGTTCTGTGGTCTCCTGATCTGGTGGGAGACTGTGCCCTGACGGATTTGGCAAAAGTGGACTACTCGGACATTGCAAAGGTATGTTACATGTTGTTGTAGGTGCAAAAAAGACAATAGACAGGCTCAGTTAAGGTAAAGATTGTCAAGGAAGATGCCAAGTTAGAACATGACTACCCATCATGGATTGCCTTTAGTTAGGAATTTTTAATTTCAGACTATCTTATGTGTTTACTTCCAGTCTCTGAGTTTGTAAGACTCTCCATTCAGCCTCCCCTGAGCTTGTCAGGTTAGGTACTTTTTCACCCACATGGGCAAGAAAATTGTTCACTACAGTATTCAAGTGTCTGGCACATAAAATACATGCCCAATAAATTGCTGGTGAATATTTAACAATTATATTACTGAATGTGGAACAAATATATGCAGAAACTTGGCCAGAGTAGTTGAGTAAATTGCAGAAGATCACACAGCATTAAGTGGTGGAATAGGGAAACTAGTCTGACTCACTCTACAGCCCCCATTCTTTTCGTTATTTCTCTTTGTCATGTTTATCCCTGTAGGCCTGACCACATGAGCGCTGGTTTCCTCTACCCAGGGGCCAAAAATTTCTTCTGATGCTGTGGGCCCCTGGACAGGTTTGTGACGTCAAACTTGCTCTTCCTGACAAAGCACAAGATACTCACAGGGCATCCCACCCACCATAGAAGCCTTCCATCCCCAACTCAGGGGTTATTCCACCCCTACTCTGGCCCAGGCTGTCCTAGGAGCTGCTGTGTCATCCCTGCCTCTCTCAGGTAGGGCTTCCTATCACTGCACTGCTCCATCTTATTTCTTCTCAGTTTCTCTAAAACACAAATAAATCAATACCTCTTGTATCTTTTCTCTTCATTAGCCTCTTCTCTGCAAGGTCTTAGGCCCAGGGCCCTGCTCACACCTGCCTGGTCCTGTCCCTGGGATGGATGTGAGCTAACAGCCCATCCCAGCTTAGTACAGGTATTAGCATATCAAAAACTCTGATTTACCTTGTTATTACTCCCACTCAGCACAACACCTGAGGCTCAAATCCAAATAGATTTTTAGGCTTATGGTTTCATGTAATATGTTTACATATAAGGTATCTGGCATGATATAGACACAAAAAGCTTGTGGCAAAATCTCCTAGACCTTTCTCTGTAAACTCCAATCCAGATACGAAGGGAGCAGATTGGGCTTGCCTGGTCTTGCTTGTGTGGAAAGCAGGACTGAACTAAGATGGCATCAGTCTGTCAACAAAGAAGCCATGTTTAGAGCATGTGCAGAGAGTCTGGTTCAAGAAGGAAACTACCTAAGTCATGCCAGACATGTCTGGCAGGGTGGGGTGTTCAAGGTATTGCCCATGTGACCTGGACACATCTGTGGAGGGGAGTGCCCCAGGATAGGCCTGCCGGGAATTCCCCAAAGACTTACCAAGGGTCTCAAAACATTTATAGACACACTCAGAAGAGTGGAGTACACGACCCTCAAGGCTCTAAGAAGGGGGGACCTCAGACTGCGGCTGAGACAGCTGAGCTCCACGCGCCAGGTTGCTGCTCTCTGCTGAGCTGCTCTCCTGACTGCTGTGCCGCCAGAGGCTCTGCCCTGCTGGACCAAGAACTTTGCTCCACTGCCCATCTGACTCCGCTAGATTCTGCCTTGCAAGATGCTGACGGCTTCCCTGCCTGCCGTGCTGTCTCCAGGACCCCCTGACTGAGACTCTGGGACTTGGATTTGTTTTCCCCCATTGACTGCTGGGTGTTATGTTCCTCCTAGATTGTTAGAGGGTGTAGGGTATTAATGTATGTTGCTCTACCTTGAGTGAACCTGCATTTAATAAAAGCTGAGTGACTAGCATATTTACCTCATGTAACTCTTGTTTATTGCTTGGTGCCAGGTTGTTCCATAGGCAGCCTCTGAAAAAGTCACCTGGCTGACTTATAGGAAAGACTCATGCGACCCCATCTTAAGGACCCATTTGGGGAGGCCTCCGAAGGTGCTCACAACAGCCTGTTCTCAGATGTTAATTCAGGACGAATCTAAAATTAGTCCCACCCCCTCCTGGTGCTAAAACTTAGCTGGGGCTTCAGCAACAGGAGGCCAGTTACTTTTAGAAACTGGCCCAGTGGGGCTTAGAGCTGAGCAACAGAAACAGGTGATGGAAACTGGGCCCAGAACCTGCAAGGCAGGAAAGAAGAGCCAGATCAAGTTCAGAAGCTCAGATCAGAATGCCAGATCCAGGGACCAGGGCAGCAAATCCAGACTGATATTGTGGTCATGAACAGATCAAGGAGAACAAGCACAAAACCATGCTGGAGCTGCCCGTAGCTCTTACTGCAAGCTAAGGTAGGGTGGGAATGGGGGTGTAGGGAGGGAAGGGAGAGGGTATTCATGAGATCCACACTGTGTGTCAGTGTCTTTGTGTCTCATTGCATCTCAGTGGTAGGTTCTATTATTTTGCCTCTTTCACTGTTAACTAAATGGAATGTCAGAGGTGTCCTCTAACTTAGCCAGTGTCACACAACCGGTAAATGACAAAGCAAGGATTCTAACCACAGCCTACTCATCATAACACCTGGCACTTTGCTCTGTGTTGCCTTCACAAACAGCAGGAAGGGGGATTTCAAATCCACCCACAGCCCAGGAGGATGGGCCATCAAGTTGCCTCACTGATATTTCTCACCCTGGGTCATATTCTAATTTCCTGGGGCACATTGACAAAAATACCAGGGCTTGACCATCCTCACCCAGAGGTTCTAAGTTAACTGTTCTGGGGCACAGCTTAAGAAGACGTATTTTACAATATCCTGGGAGCTTCTGTTGTGCCACCTGGGTGAAAAACGGCTCAGTGCTTTGTTGCTGATCGATTCCCCTGGGACAAGCTGGAGAAATGGGTGCCGATAGATGTTTCTGCCCAACTCACTTGGGTTCCACACCCAAGTCAGGCAGGCCACCTGGCCAGCAATGGCACAATTCTGCAGCAATTCTCTGGTTGAGGCTGGTCTTCTCAAATTCTGCCGTCAGGTGTAAGATTAAAAAACAGTATTAAAAACACAAAAAGAGAGCAGAGGCCAGGAACCTGGGGGCTCAATAAAGCAGAAATTTTTCAAAAAACCGAGGGGTAGAATCAGTATCATCTATCATTCTAATGGGTCACTCTGTGCCCCTTTCTCTAACCTGATACAGAAAACCTTTCTGGAGGGAGGAGGCTCCACATAATTGGCATGGCTCCGCCAAGAAGCAAGCAGTCCAGGTGAGTCCTCTCTGACCGCACCCACGCCCGCCTCTCCTGGCACACTTAACTTGCAGCTTCTATGCAGATTAGTACTTGACTATGTGTGTTTGGTGTTTTTTTGACTTCTAATTGTTTTATATTTAATTGCTTCAAATCCTGTCTTCTCTGAACTTTCCTGGAGGGCAAGGGCTGTGTCAGGGAAGAAACTGAAAATGACATCAGAAAAATCTTATAATCCTGGCTCGGATACCGTTTAGGTCTCCCGGACTGTGCATAGTGGGCCCTTCAACAACTTGTGAGTTAGGGGTCCCTATCCCACACAGTAGAAAATCCACATATAACTTTTTCTTCTTTTTTATTGAATGCATTGGGGTGACAATAGTTAATAAAATTATCTTGGTTCTGAGTGTAACTTTTGAGTCTATAAGTGGGCCCTTTGCAAATTCAGCCAACTGTGGCCTTGAAAGAGTTTTTTGCATAGGGAGCTGCAAATGTGAAAATATGTGAAAATAATGTTTTGATTCAAGGTTGGGAATCTGAGATTGTAACACTGTGGCGGGGAATGTGAAAATACTGTTTCTGAACCATGGTTGTTTGAATCTGTGGATACGAAACCCATGGGTAAGAAAAGGCTGAGTATATTTATTGAAAAAAACTGTGTAAAAGTGGACCAGAACATTTCAAACTCATGTTGTTCAAGGGTCAACTGTATTGGCATCACTTGGGAGTTTAAAAAAAAAAAAAATACTAATGTTTCAGGCTTAGTCCCTGAGAATGTGATTTAATTGGTCTTGGGTGTAGCATGAACATCATGACTTTTCAAAGCTGTGCAGATGATTCTAATATGCACCCAAGGTTGGAAATAAAAATTTGAAGACTAACAATAAGGTATGTGAAAAAATCGTTATAATGCTTATATCTGAGAGGAAAAAAGTGGAGTGATTTGATTTACTTTCTTTTTTGCTAATCTGTGTTTTATTTGTTTCTCTACGTTGGTTATGAAATTTTAAAACATTACTCAAAAACAAAAATTAAACTGGATTTGGTACTCCTAAATTGTCTACTTTTTAAGGGATCGATCACCGATGATAACTTGTAACGGGTTGGGATGGGTCCCAATTAGACAGTACTATCATTCAGTTACCAAATATTTACTGAGAGCCTCCTGTATTCCACATGAGAGACACTGGACACACAAGAGTGAATGTTACAAGCATCCCAGCTCTCATGAAGTTTACATTTAATGGAGAAAATCAACCGTTAAACAAGCAAATACAGTACTCACTTCAAGGAGATGTTCTAGCAGGTACAAACTGCTTAGTATTAACATTAAGTTTGTAAATAACTATAAAAATTGCAAATATCTGGCTTACCCTGACCCTCCCATAGCCAAGGCAGACATACATGTTAAAGCAATATATGATAAAATAATTGCTTATTGATTATGTTACCCTTTTCTGTTGAAGCTCAGTATTCTTTTTAACATTACCAATCAATCTAAAGTGGTGCTGGAAATGAAACACATTTAATATCTCAGGAAAGCACCATGAATTATCTTGTCGAAGGTAAGATAGGTGACTAAAAAGGTGATTGAAGCCTTCTGAGATGACCAGCATGCTATTGGACCATACCTCTCATACATAACAACTATAAACTCTAGACAAAATATAAGAACAATTAGTTGAAGGTAGTGGAGAGAGAACAAAAACAGAAACAGAGGAGACTGAACCACTGGAAGAACATACTGGAATGGGCTAAGTTTCCTGTTTTATAGCTTTTAGCCTAAGAACAGGGCCCTCCCTGTGGTATGCAGAGTAGAGGGGAAACCCTACGATCTATGGTTAACCTCTGCCCAGAACTCTGGCTGACCCCTGAGCTATGTATGCAAGAAACAGAATCCCAGCTTCAGCTAAAAGAACTGCACTGAAATTCCAGCCCCCACAGGGGAGATAGGATTTTGCAGTTTGAGTTCAGCCACTTAAAAGGCCCGAATAAAGAAAAGTCAATACTCATCAGAATTCATAAAAGAATCTTGCCTTTCTACAACATATCATTCATAACAACCAGGATACACTCCAAAATTATTCAACATACAACAAAACAGGAAAACATAACTCATTTTAAATAGAAGAGACAATCAATAGAAACCAACTCTGAGATGACCGAACTGATGGAATTAGTAGACAAGAATTTTAAATAAGTTATTATATCTTTCCTCAAGTATATAAAGGGAAATATGTTCATAATGAATGAAAATGTGGGAAATTATGGCAGATAAGTAGAAACTATAAGAAGAACCAAATTAAACTATAAGAACTAAAAAATAAATAGATGAAATAAAAATTCAATCAATGTACTTAGAATCACAAGGGAGATCAAAGAAGAAAAAAACACAGTGAATTAGTAGATCAGCAGAAACGATCCAAACTGAGGAACAGACATTTAATAAATGTACAGACTTGTAAATATTTACAACAATACCAAAAGGTAGCTATATCTATATCTATACTATACATTTATATATCTCAGAAGAAAAGAGAGAAAGAATGACATAGAAATATACTTGAAAAAATAATGGGTGAAAAGTTTATAAATTTGGTAAAAGACATATTACAGACTAAAACCTCAATAAACACCAAGAAAGATTAATATCAAAAACAAACAGAACAGAAATAAAAATACTTAGGTATATGATAGTCAAAGTGCTGAAAACAAATGGCAAAGAAAAAATCAATGACAAAGAGAAAATCAAAACAATGTTGAGAGAATTTAAAGATGTAAATAAATGGAGAGGTTGTGTTGTTAAGATGGCAATTACTAAGTTGATCTATGAATTCAGTACAATCCTAATCATAATTCTAGTATGCTTTTAAATCAAAATTGACAAGCTGATTCTAAAATTTCTACAGAAATGCAAAGAACTTAGAATATTCAAGAAGTCTTGAAAAAAAAGAAGTCAAAGTTGTAGACTTATACCACTTGACTTCCAAGTTTGTCCTAAAGCTACAGTAACCAATGCAGTGTGGTATGGACCCAAGGATCAACAAACAGGTTGCTAGGATTGAGTAAGGAACCCCAAAAGACACCTGCACTTACACATTTATTTTATTTTTGACAAAGATGTCAAAAGCACCCCAACTGGGAAAGGAAAGTCTTTTCAACATATGATATTGAAATAACTACTACACCAAATGTCATCCGAAGAACATAAAACAACTAAAATTCTTATACGTGGTTGACAGGCAGAGGGAATGATATGGGAACACTGTAAAAAAATAACTGTAAGTAAATATTGAACTCTGCTTAATAACATTGAAATATTTGGGGAATCTTCAATATCTGCAACTTACTTTGAAACACAATAATAAAAATAATTAAGTAAGTCACTGGTTGAATAAAGGAATGGACAGAGAATCAATATATAAAAAAAAATACAGTAAAATGTTAATTGAAGAAACTACATGGTGAGTATATGGGTGTCCACTGCAAAATTTATTCAACGTATCTCTAAGTTTGAAAATTTTATGATAGAATACTAGGAACAAAAGGTAATTGGAGATTAGTGTCTAGTTGATGTATAGGGGAGAAGTGTAGGCAAAGTGTCCAGAAGTTGGCTTTCTTTGCTCTGTTCTAACTTTGGCAATGAACCTGGGAGCTGGGACAAAGCAAATGGCCAAGTTCCTCTCGCATTCCACAGGACCCACTGGCTCATACTCACTGCCATTGCCTTGTTTACCAGATGGTGACTCAACGCATCTGTTCCAGAAATCTGAAACTGGAAGGGGGCTGTCTGACATTACTTATTCTCTACCTACTGAGTACCTACTGTGTGTTAGTCTCTGTACTAGGCTTTAAGGAGACTATAATGAAGTGAATAAAAATGCCTCCTGCCTTTTTATTGATCTTACCATTGATGAAACTCCACCCCCTTCTACTTCTCTCATAATTTACACCCTGACCAGAAGACTTGCAAGTTTGTTTTACACTCTGTGTTGATACGTCTTAAATCTCTGACTTCAAAAACCCCTTCTAATGTTGGACCTGAATACCTCTATCTCCACAGAAAGAGATATTTCTTTATTTCACTTTCTCTGGAAGCTTGATACAAGGAGATCCCAAAGCCTCAAAATAGCTCAGCAAGAAATTGAATACATGTCTGCTGACCCAAAGTCCCCTTATAGTCTCCTGAATTCGAGGTGCTAGGGAAAGGGCACTGGGTTGCTAAGCTCAAGCCTCTGCCCCACTTCCAACACAGGACACACCACTGCCATTCCTTGCTCTGACACCACAGTCAAGAGTCCTTCCCAAGCGCACAGCATCAAGGAGAGATGCCTGGCCTACTGGCTGGCTTGACCTGACCTTGAATCCTGTGTTACAAATTTGACTGTTCCAGCCTCACCTCTAACATACAAAAGAGAAAATTCCTTAAACATCTCTTTCCCCAGATCTTCTCGGTGAAATGTCAGCATGTTTTGAGCTGATATATTATTGTTACAAATGGCCCTAATTTGGTTGAGTGGTATCATATTCAATAAAAAGAAAATAAAAATTGGTTGCCTTCATTAGAAACACTATCACACTTCCTTTCTATAAAGCGACTCATCCCCACTGCTTAACTGAATACCTTCCCCTCTTCAAAGCACAAGCTGTCACCTATTTGTCACCTTTGAATGCCTATAAGCCTACCGGCTCAGAAAACTTCTTAGCAAGCTGATAATTTCCAGCTTCTTAATGCCCCTCACCCTGACTGAAATTTCTTTGCTTCTTCTCTACCTTCCTTCCTCAAAAATGTTTATTTCCCAGGAATTTAAATACCTGTTTTCCTTCCCTCAAAGCTGTTTTTCAGACAGTTGGATTCTTGGGAGACAATGATACAACTCAGGGAAATAGTGCATAGTTTTTCTCTCCTTGGTGCTGATTAAGGTGATTGGTGTTTCAAGACTTTCTGAAGCTCTTTGAAAACAGGGCTAGTCAGATTCCAGAGATTTACCTTCTGGAGGCTGAGCATGTCTGGGCAGCGGCTGCATAATTTGGATGGAGTCATCACTGATGAGGCAGAGTTGGCTCAGCCAGGGAGCACTCGTTGCTCTCTTCAACTCCACGGCACCCAGAATGAAGTCACCTTTCTTCTTTTAAAACCAACAGATTTGTCCTGTGAATCCCTGTCCCTTCTGTTAGAACTTGGTGCTTTTTCTACTGCCAGCCACCAGGACCTTCTCTCAGGTAAGGAGCTCTTATTTTGTGGGTTTTCATCCAGGAAATCTTGATTTAAGGAGGATTTTTTAGGGCATCTCTGGGTAAAGTTGGAGTCAGGTCAAGGGACACTCGATATGGTGAGGAGTTCAGTTGGTTCCCAGGTACCTGGTATCCACCTGGTGGGCCAGCAGGCCCTGGGCTGGGTGAGGAGAGCCTCACTCAGCTGGGTGCATAAGCAGCGGGTTCATGCAGTGGGCCAGGAAATCTGAGCTGAGCTTGGTTTCGGTGCCTGTTCTGAGAGTTGTGTAACAAGCACATTAGTGAAGCCCCTACAGGTGGTTTCCTTTGGGTTGGGACTCTCTTACCCCCTCTGCCTTCCTAACAACTGGCCTTGTGTTTTGGGTAGAACTCTTATAGGGTCTCATGACAAAAGCTGATGTGCAGAAAAGCAGCAGCACTCCTGAGAGCCTTTATTTGCTCATTCACTGGTGTGAAGGCTTCCTCTCTGCCTCAGAGTACAGCAGAAGACAAAGGGGCCCCAGCTTCCTGTCCAGACATGCAGGCAGGCGCCTTGTATAAACAAAGGCTGTCCTGCTGTGTGGGGCAGAAGTGTGCAAACACGCCTGTGCGCCTGTCCTAAGTTCTAAGAAAATGAGCATGAGTTTTGGGGGGATTGGGGGGGTGCAGTTTGTGTGCAGGTAGACATGTGGTCCTAGGAACCACTAAACTTTCCCTGCAACACTTTCAATGGGTTATATGAGTCACTGTCGCTGATTGAATCATACATGTCTTATTAGCTTTGGAAGGCTCAATAAAGCCATCTTGGTTATTAGGGAGGTGCCTACAGGGTGATAAATGGCTTTCGGAGTGAGTTTAACCACTGTAAACTGAAAACGTTGAGAATTGCAAAATCCTTTTATTACTTGACACAGAACCCTGCTACACATAGTATTCAGTACATTCATCCTTAACCTCTGAAGGGAGCAAGAATCTCATTAGATTAAGAGATGCTTGTTTTGTTATAAATGTAGTTGCATACTGTCTGCCAGTGTCTGCTGACAAGTTCACCTCAAACTTGGTTCATCCAGAACTTGTCCTTACCTGAGATCTGCTTCCCCTTCTGTGTCCCTAGTTCGGTGAAAAGCATCTGCTTGTCCATAACAAATTTCTGGACTTTACTCTCGACTCTTCTTTTGTCCTCACATTCCCACATGTAGTTTGGCAACACATCCAGCAGATTCTGCATCCATATTATCTCTCAAATCCATCCATTCTCCCACTTCCATGGCTATTTCTCTCATTTAATAAGCCCCTATCATCTTCTTCCAGGGTTACGGAAACCTCCCATTCAGTCTTCCTCTCTTTAGTCTTAACTTCCTGGTACAGCCAGATGATTCTATAATGATTGACCAGCCCGTGCACAATCCAGTCATTTTTTAGTCTGGCGATTCTGTCTTCTTAATATTCCTCAAAATTTTCCACATTTCTACATTCCATCACCACCACTTTGACCCAACCCACCAACGTTCTTCGCCTTAGTTATAGCAACAACTGACCTTCCTGCTACCATGCTCACTCTCTCCCTAACATATTTTAAACTTCTTCCCAAGGTATTAAAGGCCATTTTTTCTTACAAGAGCAGAACTTAAACACTTGTTCCACTATATGGGGTTTAGAAACATCAGCATCGTTATGATTCTTGTAGGTACTTCAAGGACAGAGGCAGAGAGAATGGGGGAAGATGGAGGTGTGTGTTGCAGTGGGAAGATGGCCTGAAGGATGCATAAAGCTCAGGCCTGGGAACCATGCAGGCCTACATTTGAATCCCAGCTTCTCCACTTCCAGTGCGGCCTTGACCAGGCAGTAGACTCTTCTTGAGACATTTTCCCAAACTGTGAAGTAGCATTAATAATGCCTTCTTCACTCAATGAATATGAGTTAAATGAGAACATTTAGGGAAGGCTCTGAAACATAGCAATTAAGAATTTTTAGTTCTTTTCCTTCCTTCTCTTTTAAGGTTTATGATCTCAACCATTGCATATCTTGTAAGCACTTGTATGTATGTGCATATGTAATTATCTGTTTTTGACATGGTAGGAAGGAGTGGCAAAGAAATATTGGGTTGGTCAAAAAGTCCATTTAGTTTTTTGTAAAGTAAAAGACACATTTTTCAATTTCAACAATAACTTTCTTTATTTGGATATTTTGAGCTATGTCGGCTATCTCCTGTTGGCTTCTAATGGGTAGAGGCCAGGGGTGCTGCTAAACATCTTCCAATGCATAAGACAGCCCCACAGCAAATAATTATTTGCCCCAAATGTCAACAGTACCAAGAAATTTCACAAACCACTTTTGACATATTTGATCAGTCACAGCACCTTCTCCATACACTGCACAGATCTTTTTCTTTATTTTCTTTCATTTCAGTTGTGTTTTTACTTTTCTTGAAATAATAAAGCATAATACACTGAAAATGTTGCATATTTTCTTCCATCTTCAATATTAAAGTGATTGCACAAAAATTCACCAATTTTGTTTTTTTTAAATGCATGATGATATGGCAGCTGTCACAATACAATCTAACAAAATTGTCTCAAATTAAGTTAAAGACAACTAACTGTTACTAGAGCCATTGTACAGAAAAATCTGCATGAACTTTTTGGCCAACCCAATACATGAGAACTCTCTTGAGAAATCTGCAATTTACTTAAAGAAGTAAAGCAAACCTAAATAGTATAAAAACATCTATAAAACAAGAATTCTGCAATTGTCATGCAGGCAGTACCAGCTGAGTATACAAGCAGGGAGGGCTTGAATAAACAGATCTGTGAATACCTGCAGACGGAGAGTAAATAGATCTATATCAAGCAATCTTTTGATTTAGGGTTTTTTGAGGACTTAAAATTCATTGACTTCTCTGATGTTGAAATAAAGTGTCCCAAAAGTTTTATACTTTTAGAGTGATTTAAGGACATACAGATTAGTGTTTAAGTGATTTTACTCGTTCATTCATTTACCAGGTATTTATTGAATACCTATTCTGTACCATGTCCTATATTATACAATTTCTTTGCTACTCTTCCTTGGGACATGAGTAATACTGTCATCCATGAATTCTCCCTCTTGAATTGGGGCTAGCTTTACGGACGTGTTTGACCAATGGTACAAGAAGAAAGTGACATTTGGGGACACCCATAGCTAGGTTCTAAGAAGCTTTGTGGCTTTCTCTTGGGCTTCTTGACCCACTAGCTCCAGGGGAAGCCAAGCACCATGTAAACTCATGGGTCAGCAACCTGATTCTCTTGGAGGGGGAAGGGAAAACCCTGATTTGCAGTGTTTGCCCATTTTCATGGTAAAAATACTCCCTCCCACCATGACCAATTTCAAGCTACCAAAGCAACAGCTCCGAATGTAGGGGGGGAAAGAAATACACAGAATCAGTCTTACATGTTGGTACAGGCCAGCCCCATGCACGACTTCTAATCTCTCTGAGACCACCATGCTGTGAGAAACTCCAGGCTAGCTAGGTGGAAACGCTCCATGCAGAGAAGCCTAACCTGCCTGAGACTTTCCAGCCATTCACAGTTAGGCTCCAGGGAAGAAGACCTTTAGAGGACTCCAGGCCCAGCCACTGACTTCCACTGTATGAGAGGCCCTGAGTGAGAACTGCTCAGCTCAGCCCAATCAACCCACAGAACACTGAGAGATAACAATGTGTGTTATCTGTTTGGAGGTAGTTTGTTATGCAACAATTGATCATTGGAATAAACTGGTAGTCTTGTTTACTCGGAAACAATCCTAGATCAGGTTCCCAGAGAGTGTGGAAGAATAGAGAAATCTATGCAGGAAGCCTTTTGTTTTTGTATATTCTTAGGCCTTAGATCACTAAGGAAGAAGATGTTTTAATTTTAAATGCCTGAGAAACAGATTTGATTAGTCCACTAATTAGTTTTACCCTTATAACTAAATCAGTGAAAACAAAGTCTCTTACACACACAGAAACACACACTCTCTCATACTCTTTCCATCCTCCTCCATTCATCTATCCACCTAACTCTATTCATACAAAGCTCTGCAGGAAGATCTCCCTCATCTGCTCTGTCTGCTTTCCCCAACAAATTCCACATTCAGACAGAGCAGAAAAAATAAGAAGTCAGGGAGATGTCCAGAGCCCTGAGGTCTGCTGGGAAGCAACTGAGGCATCTATAAAGAGCAGCAAAGAGGAGAATTTAAAACACGTTCTAGAGAAAGCACATGGCTTAGTGGTTAGAGAATGAATTTAGAAATCAGATGACCTGATTCCAATCTGGATTCTGACATTGTCTAGTTGGCTGAACTTGGAAAGTATCTAGACATCTCTCTTCTCACTTTCTTCAACTTTAAAAACTGGATGATAATGCCATCTTATGAAGTCCTCATGAAGATTAAATGAGATAATATTTGTAGAGTGCTTAGCATAGTGTCCAATATTATATATTGTGCTGAATACATAGCAGTTATCAGGAGAAGTAGTTATAGTGTTGGTGTCACATTGGTGGCATTAGTGTCACAAATTCCAAAACCACAGGCTCCCTGGCAAACCCAGAGCTTTAATCAGGACACTATAGGTGCCCAACACATGTTCAATAAATACTTAAATCAAACCAAATATCTATATTCTGAATATTTATTCTACTGCCATTTTTCTCTTGTTGTCTCCCACACATATTTCCAAATGCTTAAAAGGCATATCTGTGCATTATTTCCCCTATATCTTAAACAATATGAACTAAGACCCTATTTTCCAGTTTCTTATAAGTCCTTTTCTTACCTTCTATTTGTTGCAGGTAGTTGAGTAGTTTAGTGCTCAACACATATTAACTGTCATTATTTTTTAAAATTCTATTTAAGGAGAAGTTGAAGTTGGGTGACTTCTGCAGAGAGCTTGAGCCCAGGGTGGTCCAGAAATGCCAGGTTTGCCTGTTTACACACGCCATCACTTTGGTATAGTCAAGATGAAGGATAACAGAGTTCTAGAGAGCAAGATGTGTTAATTTCTCCTGCTTCATTTATACTTTGTGAATATGAGTTACTGAAACTTTAATCTGTGAACTGACATTAGGTAGACTTGGTCTCTTTAAATTTATGGTTGGTCTAGTCATGTGGATTTTTTAAGCAAAGAATAATGCAAACATTTCGACTACTAAAAAATAGCTGATTTGCGGGTTTGTTTGTTTTTTTAAACTTTTATGCCATGGCCAGTGTGGCTCTCTTGGTTGGAGCATCATCTGGTACACCAAAAGGCTGAGGGTTTGATCCCTGGTCAGGGCACATGCCTATGTTGCATTTTGATCCCCAGTAGGGGCGTGTATAAGAGGCAACCAATCGATGTTTCTCTCTCACATTCGTTTTTATCTCTCTCTCTGTCACCCTCCTTCCCTCTCTCCCTTCCTCTCTCTCTAAAAGCAATATAAAAATGTCTTATGGTGAGGAAAAAAAACTTTTAGTATGAGCCTTGGCTGGGGTGGCTCAGTGGACTGAGTGCCAGCCCGCAAACTGAGAGGTCGCTGGTTCAATTCCCAATCAGGAAACATGCCTGGGTTGTGGGCCAGGTCCCCAGTGGGGGACATGTGAGAGGCAGCCTATTGATGTGATGCATCTCTTGCACATCGATGTTTCTTTGCCTCTCTTTCTCCGTCTCTTCCCTTCTCTCTAAAATAAATAAAATCTTTAAAAAAAGCTTTTATTATGAGATATGAATAGATTCACAAGTGTATGCCTGCTTCACCCAGCCTCTCCTAATGTTAACATTTTTCATAACTATAGTAAAATATCAAAACTAAGCAATTGACATTGCTGCAACCCATAGCCCCTTATTTGTATTTGATCAGTTATACATGTATTCATTTGTGTATAATTGTATGCAATTTTTATCATGTTAACTTCATGTAGCTATCCTCACAGTCAACATACAAAACTATACAAACACGACAAGGCTTTGTTTACTACCATCCCTAACCCTTTGTATCCAGCCCCGTCCTTAACCCTTTGAAATCATTAATCTGTTGTCCACCTATATAATTTTATTTCAGAAGTTTTTCATAAATGGAATCATGCAGTATTTACATGCATGAGATTGGCTTTTTCCACTTAACATAATTTTTTGAGATCCCCAAGTATGTATCAATAGTTGGTTCTTTTTTGTTGCTGAGTATTGCACAGGTATCGATATACCACAGTTTAATTATTTATCCATTTACCCATGGGAGAACATTTAAGTAGCTTCCAGTTTGAGGCTATTACAAATACAGCTGCTTGAGCATTTATTTGTGTGCAAGTTTTTTCATGAGCATAAATTATAATTTCTGTGGGATAAATGCCCAAGAGTACACTATCTGGGTTTCATGAAGTCAATTTTTAATTTTAAAATGAAGTACCAAACTATTTTCTAGAATGGCCATTACCTTTTGCATTACCACCAGCAATGCATGAGGAAAGGAGGCTCTCTGCACCTTTGTTAGAATTTAGTATTATCACTATTTTTTAATTTTAGTCATTCTGACAGCTGCCTGATAATATCTTGTAATTTTAATTTGCATTTCCTTAATGGATTATGGTGTTGACCATCTTTTCATATATTTATTTGCTATTTATATATCTTCTTTTAATTAATTTATTTATTGATTAGAGAGAATGAGAGAGGCAAACATTGATTTGTAGTTTCACTTATTTATGTCTTCATTGGTTGATTCTTGTATGTGCCCTTACTGGAGATCGAACCCACACCTTGGCGTATTGGAATGATGCTCTAACCAACTGAGCTACCCAGCCACAGCATCGTCTATATATCTTCTTCAAGAAATGTCTGTTAATGTCTTTTGCCCATTTTCTAATTATATTATTTGTAGAGTTTTTTTGTTTGTTTTTTTACTCTTGAGATTTGGGAGTTTTTTTATATACTGGTATATTCTAGATACACATCCTTTTTCAGATGTGTAGTTTACAAATATTTTCTCCCACTGTGTAAATTACATTTTTACTTCATTCTCTAAATAGAATCTTTCACAGAGCAAAAGTTTCACATTTTGATAATGTTCAATTTATCAGTATTTCTTTTTATGGATTGTTCTTATTTTTTTTTAATGTTGTTCAGTTACAGTTGTCCCCTTTACCCCCAACTCCCTTCAGCCTTCCCACATTCCCACCATCACCTCCCAATTCAATCCTCCCGCGCCCCTCACCCCTATTTGTCTTTGTCCATGGGTCCTTTATAAACGTTCCTTGACTTGACCCCTCCTCTTCTTTCCCCCTTTATCCCCTTCCCTCCTTCCCTCTGATTACTATCAGTTTGTTCTTTATTTCAATGTCCCTGGTCTATTTTGTTCGCTTGTTTGTTTTGTTGGTTATGTTCCACTTATAGGTGAGATCATATGGTGGGTTGTTCTTTTAGTGTAAAGGATAAGAACTTTGTGCCTAGTCCTCATTCTCAAAGAGTTTCTTTTATTTTTTTTCTAAAAGCTTCATAGTTTTACATTTAAATCTATAATCCATTTTTGGGATAATGTTTAATTGAGGTGGCAGGTTCAGGTCAAAGTTCAGTTTTACCTTTGTATGTTCAGTTGCTCTGACAGCAGATGTTAAAAAGGTTATCTCTCCTTCATTGAGCTGGTTTTGAAACTTTGTCAAAAATAAATTGGTTGTATTTATATGACTCTATCTCTGGGTTTTCCACTCTATTCCATTTATCCATGCGCTTGTCTCTCTGCCAATGCCACACCATCTAGATTACTATACCAAATGCTGAATAGTAGCTTTATAATCAACCATACGTTAGGGAGAATGATTCCTCTCATGCTGGTGGCCTTTCACTCCCTATACATGTTATAAAATGCTTGCCTATGCCTACAAAAATCTTGCTGGAATTTTGATAAGAATCCTGTTAAACACATAGCTTAGTTTGAAGAGAAGCAACATCTTTACTATGTAAAGTCTTTTAGTCCTCAAACAGGAACATTTCTGTCACTATTCAGATCTTCCTTGGCTTCTTTTGTTAGTATTTTGTGATGGTCAGCATGAAGGCTCTGCATATATTTTGGGTGGTTTATAGTTAAGTATTTTATTTTCTCTGGAACAATTGAAAATGATATTGCATTGTAAAATTTCATTTTTCATGTATACATTTAGTATATGGAAATACAATTTTGTAAATTTATTCCCCAGCTTTATTGAAGTATGATTGAAAAGTAAGCATTGTATATATTTAAAGTGCACAGCATGCTGTTTTGATATACATATATTATGAAATCATTATCATAATCAAGCTAATTAACATACCTATTAATTCACATAATTATCATGTGCATATGTATGCACTGAGGACATCTGAGAGACCTAACTCAAGATCTTACTCTTTTAGCAAATTTCAAGTATATAATACATTATTATTAACTATAGTCAATGCTATACATTAGGTCTCTGGAATTTATTCATCTTGTAACTGAAAATGTGTACCCTTTGATGAATACCTCCCCAAAATACAATTAATTTTTTGTGTATTGATATTAAATCTTGCAATTGTGCTGAACTCATTTGTTAGTTCTAGTTTTCTTGTAGATTCATTTGGGATTTCCTACATAGACTGTCATGTCATCTGAAAATAGCTGTATTAAAAGTTTGCTATCCCTTTTCATTGTTTCTCTATGATTAGAAGAGTGTGTGTGTGTGTGTGTGTGTGTGTGTGTGTGTGTGTGTATGAACTTCTTTTATGCATATAGGATCTTGTGTATAAACCATTTTGCACCTGGCTTCTTTTTTTATGATTCACATTATTACCACAACTTTTCATATGAGTTCTTATAGTCCTCTTATTTGTTTTAATGGCTGCATAGGATTTATAGTGTAAGTATATTTTATTTAACTGTTTATTAAGGAGTCTTCAAGTGTTTCCCTTTTTTGTTACAAAGAATGCTTTTTCATATACATCTTTGTGCTCACTTGTTCTTCAGTTGTATTATGTATATTAGATACTTAGAAGTGAAATTGATGAATCAAAGGACATATTAGAAAATATGCCCAAATTACCATTATAAAGCAGTATCAATTTATTTTTCTACCAAAGTGTGAAAAAACCCATTTCTTCAAAAATCACTATCTGATATTAATCAATATTTTGAAACATTTAGATTAATAAATACTCATCAATAGAGTTCCCAACAGCCTCATTCCCTAGAGGTAACTATTGTACCCTGCAATCTTGTGTACCCTTCCAAAATTGTCTATGCTTTGCAAATATATGTATACATATATACACAAATATTATGCTTATGAGTAAGATTTTTTACTGTGGATCATTCTATATTTTGTATGTATTGTTTAAAATCAAATATGCAATTATTTTGTAATTAAAAAAATAGTATTTAAATTTTCTGCTAGAAACCCAAGCCTGTAACAAGGGCATATTCTGTGTATCAGTGTTTCTCAATTTCAATTGTGGTTGCACATTCCATTTACTTGGGGAGCTCTTAAGAAATGCAGATGGCCAGGGCCTTGCCCTCAGAGATTCTAATTCCAGATGTCTGGGAGAGAGCCTGGGCACCTGCAGGTTTTAAAAATACCCCAGGTAGCTCCAATGTGCAGTCATGGTTGAGAACTGCTGCTATAGATGATGCGAGACTTAAAAGGGTCCCTATAGGGCCACTGTGATGAAGTCTTTTCGGAATAATTTTTTAGGAATGCAACCCAAAGTAATCCATCACTTTCCTGTCAGGCTAAATGTGGGCACGAGATGAGTGCAAACCAAATCCAGAGGGGAGTGGTGGAGAATACCTTCACTCAAATGTGTGTGCCAGCTTCCATCTCTGTGGTAGGCCTTTTTGCTGAAAGGTACAGTCTCCCTCAGAACATAAGGGGTTTTGTAAACTAGTCATAACCATAAGCATACAAGAATCTCATGGAAAACCAGAAACAGTAAAAAT